TGGGATACACTACCGAATTCAAATGTACTCACATAAGAACACGTATACACGCAGGCACACATATATTGGCATAATGAGCGCCTCTCTACCATATACATGCATATATTTTGGAAGTCTGTTCACTGACCAGCTTAAGGAATGCGCTCGTTCAGTTGTGCCTCGGGGCTCGATCTAGTGACGTTCGACCGTCGTTACCGACGATGTTCGCTGTTTGCTCCACAGAAGGATGAGAGCAGGAACGGTGACCCGTGCGTGGCTTCTTCCATAGTGCTAGCGGACATGCACAGCATCTGCCGCACTCTCTCATACTCCCCACCTGGGCCCATTGTCAAGACATAGTTAGGAAGACTGGAGGCGAGAGAGGACGCAGGTGGCTGGCACGGCGTGAACCCGGACCTAGGCGTACCACCGCACTCCCTGGTTCACAACCAACACTTGACTGGGATTTTAACCAACAACAACAATAGGGACGACAGGGATCCCGATTAGCGCGACGTGGGTCGGCAACTGGGTCTGCCACCGCACCTCGAATGTTGGTGTCTGTTATGGGTGTACATTCCCAATAACACCTCCCAGAATCCGATCCAGCCCGCGTGTTGGTCCAGCGCGTCTACCCCATGCCCACCGGAAAAGGAGTCGTGGGCCGTCAGCACAGATTACCCTTTGCTCAGGTCGCCACTGCGTAATTATTCACTCACTCCTGAACAATCTACTGAAGAAGACCCCAGCGTATCCTAGAAACTAACTCAAATATCAGCGAATAGATACAGCACCGTAGTCGGACTACCAAATCAATTTAGCTGGTTCGTTCGAGTGTGCGTGTCTAAATAAGATTTAGCCGGTTTATTGACTCTCCTGAAATGTACGCGCCCTCAAGACCGTTGCACTCACCATGCCTCTTCTGTTGACTTGTTCCTCTCTTGAGGCCATTTTGTTTTCGACCCTGTAACTTTGGGCGCAGACTATTCCAGCCCGTAATCTCCTGAGCGACCAGTTAGCCAACAGTTTTTTGCATGCTCATTTTGGCTCTTTAGCATGTAAATCGCTCCTCACACTTTGTCTTTTTATTCTCAAAACGACAACCTGGGGCATACTTGCATCACCAAACCCTTTCACTCTTCTACTTCCACCTTAACAGCTGTCCCCTTGCTGGTCTAAAATCTGGTCAACCAGGCTGCCTATGTGTGCTCTTGGGACTGGTGTTTAGGAAGGGTGGTTGTGACGAGACAGGACTGTTTGGCTGTGCCAGCCCTTCGTATCTCATCGTCCACATCATGCCAGCAACTTTGTCGGCTGTATAGGATGCGTAGTAAACAAGTTTTTTTTCCGGCAACACCTAGTTTCCGAGTCCTGAATCTGCCCTGCCCCCTCCCGCTTTGCCTCTGTGTGTACATGCAGGCAAATATTTAGCACAGAAGTTGGATGACGAGGACAAAGAGGAAGGAGGCGCAGTTGGAAGCAGAGCCAAGCGGGTGGACTAAGTTTTTCCGACTCCTACACTGACGTTCGTCCTACCCTACGCACTGTGTGGATGTATGTGCCCGAACGGCGCACCTGATGTCAGTAACAGTAGACATGGTGTTGTTTCCCTGAACGAATATGCCCGCCATTCAGAAGCACGCACTCTCCGAGGATGGACAGGAGGACCCAGAGCCACCACTTTTATCAGAGCAATTTCACTGTGCATCCTTAGGAGTAAATGTTTCATTTTGTTATTTTCAGCTCAAAGCCATTCGCACGCTCGGACTATCCAATTCAGAGGCCATTCTGACAATGGAGGACGATTACCGGCAGACAGCTGGTGATACCTCTCCTATTGAAAACTCCCATCGTTCGTCTGCCCACGAGACCTCACAAGGTCACGGTAACACAGGCGAGGTAAGCGTCGAGAACCGAATCTAGTTATGCTGCCCTCCGTTGTGTTCATTCCTGCTACTTCCGCTGACATTACTGGCCTCTCAATCCCCACGCCCTTGTTGTGCAGTTCCGTTTCGGTGAAGTCATGGTGTACCAGGCCATTCACACCATCGAATACTGCCTTGGCTGCATATCCAACACCGCCTCGTATCTGCGACTTTGGGCCCTCAGTCTTGCCCATGCACGTAAGAGACATCTTCCTCCATACGCGCCTTTTATATTTCACTATTGACTGTATCTGTTTCGAATGAGGCAAAGGCGACGAAACCTGCAGAATTTACTGACGTCATAAATCTCGAGACCTCTTATTCAGCTGCACACGGTCATTGCATATCTATATAACAAGGTAAACTGTTCAATCAGGGATCGACCTAGAGAGTTAAAACGTGATAGGTAACACGAAATATGGGTTGTTGGCCTAGTATGCGGGTGCACATGGCGGGGGAGGGGCGGAGGGGACGAGGAGTCATCTAAGCGCGTGAGGTAGAATTACAGTGAGAACTTATCGGGCGGGATTAAAACTTCAACGCGCAGGACGGCATTCAGTCATGCGGGAGAGGGGGGGGGGTGGGGACTAAGGGAGAGGACGTATATGGGAACGAGGTTTCGTCCATTATCGATCCTTACCATGGCAGTGGTCCAGCTGCTTACAGAGTTCTGGTTTCCTCCTCCGTATTGCAGCGGCCTCTGCAAAGCGCAAGAGACGCCCCGTCGTCCGAAACAGGACCTTGAATGCAGCCATTGGGTCCACTGTATGGCCGGTGTCCACTAGGGGCTTTGTAATTGAGTTCCTGGATACCTTAATTTCTGCCTTAAGCAGCCACTTCGGCCTTATTCGTATTCCGGGAAAACATTTCTCTGTTTTATAATTTACGCCGAAGTTGTTAACCACTGACAAACGACATCTTGGTATGCCTTCAAATGGAGGTCGAGAAAACGACTAACAGGCGATATACAGTAGATGTGCTAACTCTCGAAATGTTTGCCGAAATTCTGAAGTGCATTTCCGAATCGAAAAGTTGCTTAAGTAGGGTTGTAGTATTAACCACCGTGGAACATAATCCCAAGATGCTTCAGTTACCCCGGGACGCGGGCTTTTTTAACGAGCTTCTTTGCGGTCGCCTGCAAAAACTACCCTTCGCAAAAATAACTACTTAGGTAGGGCGAATTTCCCTCATTGATTTTCGATGCCCTTATAAAATCAAATATATTTCATAGAAAACATGCATGCAAATATTGGTTCTCTTAATCCTTTGGTAGAAAACTGCGTCTTCTTCAAATTTTATACTCGAAGGAAGGGCACTCTTTCTTCCGGTATAAAATTTGAAGTAAGCATAATTTGCTACCAAACGAGTAAGAGGAAGAATATTATGGTAGAGAGGGCGCTCACCGATCGTTCTTGCGGAACTCACTCGTTCCATTGTGCCTTACGGGCTCTCTCCCGAGCCCAACCAACAGCCACACAGCGGCGCATGATATAGGCAGAATGGTATTACCGACAAAGGCATGTTTTCTGCCAAATATATTTGGATTTGTAAGGGCATCGAAAATCAGTCGGAAAATCCATACCACTTTTTATGGAATGCAGTTTACGTAGGCAGTCAGTAAGCGGCTCCTTCTCAAGCCGGACATCCTGACGTGACCAGAATATCTTGGCATTATGCAACATGGTACTTAGCACGACGATCGTACTTAAGTAATCTTTTCGAATTTAATTTCGTTGAATAGTTCATTGGAAAGCACATCCACTGTACGGTACGACGGATGCGAGAGTGTTTGGCGCGTCTTTCTCGAATGCTAAATGAGTGTGGAAATACGCGTTAGGCTGGAGTGTCGGTCCTAGGCAGGAGGCAGTCGTTGCAGCCACGGGATCTCATATGGCTCTCTTTCTGATGCTTCAATAGTTTGGGTGTGGCTGCGTATGAACCGGATTATAGTGCGGCTAGTGTTGGGCTCAGGTGTATATATCGAGCCCCGAAAGGGCGACATCCTTCTTATAGCAGTAAACCCTGTGTCGTTTGAAGCTTTCCCATATTGGCCCATTAGTCGGGAAAATTGAAGTGATAGTAAGACCTGTCACTCTGGGCATGAAAGTACTCAGTCCACTGGCATAGAGAGTGTGTGTGCCGCACACTTCTGATTTGTTGCCAACTAGAATCCACGGTAAGCAAGTGGTCGCTGTATGTGCGGGGACGGTTTTTTTCCACGAAACTTGCAACCATCTGCATTACTAGTGCAATCAGATGCCTGACCTCTCTCTTCTACTTTGTTAAAGTAAAGATGCAAATTCTAGGCCATTTGAACTTAACGCTGACACTGCGAAGCCACCATACTATTAGAAGGTCACCTATTGACCTTTATTAATGTAGAATTTCTTTTGAACTTGCACTTCTAGCAGCTGGCAAGCAGTTTCTAGCACATGACACCTCTGAGACGCACACTTGTCCTTTTCCCACCCCTTGTGCTTATGCGCACTGTTCTGAGCAATAGTCAGTGCATGCCAGTGAGACCGACCCACTCTGAACCGAAGCCTTTGTTTTCTCATTCTAACAAGTCGGAAGCAAGTTTGGATTTTTACAATGCCGTAGGAGTCTTTACTTGGAGGCTTGTCAATTGAAGGGCTAATCAGCTCTTCTAGACTAAGGATTGGATCTCGATGACCCATTCCCAGCCTTTGTGGTAACCTATGAAGTGAGATGCGCGACCCCACTTTGGCGTCTGTGTGTGCGGGTCCGTGCAGGTATCACCGCGTGAATAACACTCTTAGGTCCAAACTTGGCCTCGTCAAACCTCCAAGCGTCTTGACTCCATTTTGCCGTTAAAACATCGTAGATATGTAGCGTATAAGCGGTGAGTGTGAACCCAGTGTGCTACAATCCTCAGGCCAAATATCGAGTCGGAGAAAAAGAAAAAGGTCGCCTAATTGAGGGGTTTATTGTGTATCCCCCCGAGTTGTCCTCTTGGGCGGCAGTGAATGCTGACAAAGCCAGTGATGGTGTTGACTACGTCCAGTCATGCCTGAGAGTCTTTGAGGCTGTCGTAGCAGCTGCTTTCGTAGGTTTTAGGGACAGTTTGAAGTGCTGCCCAGCTGGTGTGTGTAGCATTTGCCGAGAAGTGGCGTTCAAGCTGCTTATGTTGTAGTTGCTGGAAGAGAGGGAGGAAGTTCGTTCAAGTTTCGCACAGGCAGCCGCGACTATGTGGACGCGTGTGAAGTTGAAGTCGGTTGAGTGGCTGCAGGTCAGCGCCTCTGGAACCGTCCGCGTGAAAATCATCGTCTTTTCGTGGTTTCGGCGGGGGGTGGGGCGTGTGTTTGGAAATACGACTTCAAATTGTTTTGCACGCCATGACTATCTATGTAGCCTATAGCCTAACTTTGTTCACGACACTTATATGAGGTCAATTATTCTCCGTAAGGTTGACGAAAGTATACATTTCATAGTATTCTACGGAGACGCGCATCTTACTGATTACACCTGAAAATTTCAGGCGCACCTTCTTGATTAAGCTGGGGGTATCTCGGGCATATATGCCAACTAGTTATAAGGTCTCCAAAACATGAAGACACGAACTGTTTCGAAGAATGGTGGCGTTGGTATTAGACCTTGCTTTTTAAACAGAACTCTCGCATACCTTCAAATAGTACTTTTTCGGATGAGACGGCATCTTGCAAAACGAGTGCTAGGAACGGATTTATGGGTGAGGTCGTCGTAGATTACTAGTAAACTTCCAATAAGAAGTCGACCCATAAATACACAAATTCACGAGATATCAGGCTCATAATTGATCACTATTATAACCAAAATTAAGCACTTCTTTTCGCTCCAGACACTCTGTCGCCAATGTCGTCCAGGTTGCCTGAATTTCGACGTATGACTGTGCACTTACGAGAGCATGGAAGCTTAGCACAGCAGGCTCCAGCTAATTGAAACAGGCAGACTCGCTGAGGGCACGAATTAGTTTTGTTGTGATATCCTGACTCGGCTGTGGCATATGTAAAAGGACATTGATGGGTTGTACTTTTCGATTAAAACCTACAGTGCATGTTGCCGTTTCGCCTTTATAGCTGATTTTCTTAGCTGAGTGGTATGTAAACTTTTTATGTATGCTTCGTAAACTCCGTCGTGTGATTCGTTTTCTCCTCCTGTCTGGGGGCTTTTGCAAAAGGACACTCGAGGGCTGGTTCTTAAGGCGAAGAACTGCTTGATTTTGGGAAACTATTTGCCTCATTGACAGCATTTCAGTTCTCACTCCTTATCTTCGTCTAAGTTTTTCTTTAGTCGACGCGCTCCCAGTTAATCGACCAGTCCTCTAAATGCACGTTAGTGTAGCCACATCCCTATATTGCCTTCTCGCCTGTTGGTGAGCTGTCCGTTAAGATTAAGAAACGCGATACGCCCTCCGCGACTTCCTCTTCCTCCCACCTCTTTCTCCTGCAGCGCGAATTTCTTAAACAACATTTTCCCTCGGCTTTGTTTTTACGGTAAGTTAACAATTTCTTCGTCCTGTTGTTCTTCCTAGAGCTCTCTGAGGTTCTTTGGGACATGGTGATGATAAATGGACTCAAAATCAATGGCTACTTCGGCTGTGTCATCCTCTTCTTCGTCTTCGCTGCTTGGGCATGCCTGACTGTTGGCGTACTAGTTGTGATGGAGGGTTTGTCGGCCTTTCTTCACGCCATTCGTCTGCACTGGTGGGTCTGATTTCTGGTCTGACGTTTCAAGAATCTAGTCAAAAACAGTTGCAAGTTTTAATTTTATAGGATTGGATAATGGACAACTGACAATTTTAAATGAGACAGTTGTGTCTTTCTAGATAAAACTACTTATCACAGCGTGGATATGCGGAAGTATGTTTTCCGATCTCATACGGGGCTGTAATTGAAAAAGTTGATAAAGTCACATAAACAGCCGCCTAAATATGTACAGCTGGAAGTTGCCGCCATACTTTTTCACCGAACAGCTAACAAGCTCATACAATATTTAATTTCGCATGCCTATTTTGAAAAGTGTTTAAATAGTCTGTACCCGTCAAAAATGTCCATGCCCGATCTATCCAGATGTGTTAATTGAGGCGTATTTCCACTTTAACAGGCATGGGTCATCCAGAATAGTTTTCAAACGAAGGTTTCTACTATTGTGACTGTTGTCGTTGTCAATATATGACGTTTTCAAGTCGCCGAAACTTTTATGAAATCCGTTTTTTTATGTCGCTCATAAAAGCCTGTAAATATCTTAATACCAATCTACCTGATGGGGTTGACAGACAGGAACTGTTTTACGCCAGAACCTTAACTAACTCAACTGCAGGAGAAGTTCGCAGTCGTCTTTCTGTCAATAGTGGGCCATTTGCGAATGATCCATTTTTATTTTCAGGGTGGAGTTCAATAACAAGTTCTACGTCGGCGCCGGCTACTTGTTCGTGCCGTTCTACTTCCAAACTATCCTTAACCAGGCCTCTGAGTGAATCCTTGTCTTTTTATTCTTATAAGCTTGAATCTCGTTGTCGGCGGCTCAAGGTGTTTTTTTCTTGCCTTTTTGCCCGACTCGAATTGAATATGACTCGGAACTCTATTTTTCAAGTATACTTTCCTACCGATTCAACTAGCCCCCTCCACTGTTATCCTCACCTCGCTCCATCCCGTGTGCGTCCCGTTTGCTTTTTCGTTTTCTCATCTTCCGAAGGGTTTAAAAAACATACTTTCCACATTTTTTCGGAACTCTTATCCATAACCAATGCTTGGTGATTTACGCTGCCTCAATTAAATAAAGCCTAACCTGTGCCAACCATCCTATATTTTCTGTCAGTAGTGTCTCCTAAAAGATGAAGTAGGCAAGAACGGCAGGATTTATTGGTACCAAAAAATTTCGCGACTGCTCTTCAGCTGCTGCCTGTCGCTTCATAAGAGGGATAACGAGTGAGAACAATACAACAGATTTGAATTCGTGCAGAAAGTCGATGCAGAAACAGCAAGGTTAGGGTTTTGGGCAAAGTTGGCTAATCGATAAAGTTAGTAACACAAACGCCGTAGGGGAAGAAAGTGAAAAAAGGGTAAACGTTAAAGAGCAAAAAATGAGAGGAGAGAGGGGGAATCATGGAGCTAGAGGCTACCATGGTAATGTTAGGTTAACCACGTGCTCCAATTGTTTACAAAGATCTGGTTTCACTCGTCGTATATAGGCTGCCTCCAGGTAACGCAATGTCCGAGATGTAGGCATTGGGACAAACCTGCCACAACCCGCGTTTATCATCGTCGCACCTCCTCTGCTAGAGGTGCGTTGCGTGATTTTTCGCGGTTGAATCCTCAGACGTTCCAGCCGTTGGCGAATATGGACGACTTATCCATGCGGCGGCACATCCTGCGTCTCTCTCTCTCCCCTCTCCCTTTTCCAACACTCAGCCTGTTCCAATAGCAGTTAAGAGTCAGGGCTGGATGTGCGAACAATTGCTTAGGAGGTTGAACTCACGTCTGCACCTATCGTAGACGTGCTGGTCCCTGCGTACGCACGAACCAGGGTCTGAAGTGGGGTTGCGGTCCTTACTTAGGCGACAGTTCTCATGAATGTCACATCACGAGGGGATCGCTGCATCCTGATTCTCACTCTGGAGGAGTATAGAGTTATTCCCCTCATTCAGCGGCCCTCCTAGCCATGCCTATTACTGTCGAGAGTTTGAGAGTGCGTTTAGTTGCCATGGTTGCTGTCTCGCAGCTTTCCCCATATGCTTCCCACGTCAATGTCCTGCACCACCCCGGGACGTCCGGCGGTTCCAGTTTGTTGTTTGTTCAATTGTCAGAGCTTGATCGACTTTCAACCCTATCCACCATTACAGTATGCAACTTGGCTGATGTTTTCCTTTTTGGGGCCATCTGTGGGTATGTCTGCCCCTGTGCATAATAACAGCTACAACTTATCGTTGTACGCCGTCGATGGGGCATGAGACCTGTTCCCACTTTATCACATTCCATGCATTCACAAGAGCGAGTCTTGCCCGGGAAGCTGCGTGTGGTTCTGGAGCTCTTAGAGTTATTCACCGAGTGCAATCCACAAGGTGCTGTTTTATGCAATCAGGGACAGCAGGTGGCCATGGAATCATCTGATTCAAGGAAAGCTTCCGAAGTCCTGAAAGCTGCGGCAATCAGTGACTTGTTATCCCAGAAAATCAATCTTGGCGGGCTTGGAATTATTAGGAATGACCACAATTGCAGAGCCTGCGCATAGCGTCAAACACCGAAGAAAACCGGACCGCTCATTCCCGAGCCCCAGGTAGATGCCCAAACATAGACTTGATCTCCATCAGCTTGCATAATCAAGGGAGTGATCGAGCCTGACTCTCGGTCTAGTCAGTCATTCCACACAC